ATATATATATGTCAAGTTGAGCGACATTTTGATATGTTCAAACCGCCAGAGATCAAAAGCGCATTGCATACAAAGCTTATCCACAGTGTCTTACATCAGTTTACATTCAGCGAGTAATGGAAAGTCACCATCAAAGATGCTGCGTGATCGACAGAGCAGGTCTGTTTGGGACTCGATCAAGCTTAAATGGAGAGAGACCGGACAAATGCAGACGTGTCTCAAAAGCAGCAGCAAGGGAACATCAAGAATCGTAAAACCGTTGACTTGGTGTGCGCCTCCAATTATGGCTCTCACAAAATCAAATGGGATCCGAGCGCATTTAGTAGACAAATAGATGCGCTTTCGTCTACTTAATTGGCAGCTGGATCAGCAACGATGGGCGCATAACCACTGAAGTTAGTTCACGTATTGCAGATGTAACAACTGTCTTCTTGGATCTGCGATATCTGTGGCGTCAGAACAGGGTTTACCTCGGTCAGAAAAGCCTTGTTTACGAGGCAACAGTCAGGGCCGTCCTACTCTATGGAAGTGAGACTTCACCCCTTCGATCTGAGAACCTGCGGCGCTTTCTAGTCTGATTCTAGTTGTCTACGGAGTAGTTCTAGTGTCGGACGACACTAGCTCGTCCGCAACGATGACGTGCTTTGGCGGGTGCCACGCCGTTATAACCAGGATAGTTCCTTGGAACAACCGATAGCACTGAATAAGTTGCGTCGGCTTGAGCACATTCCATGTATACCTGGTCATCGTTAACCGATGAGGGCGCTTTTTGTTTGCCAGAGGTAGGGTGGCGCAAGGCCCGATGTGGGCAAAAATTAACTTGGCAGCGGGAATTTAAGTCACTGACGACCCAACTCGGTGCCGTCGGTCCGTCTCACATTCCAGACTGGAGTCCACTTGACCCGCCTTGTGGTTTGCTCGAGACATTACAGGACGTGGCTCACACTCGACACTAGTGGCTTGTCTGCTGTCGTCTCCTAGTCGAACTGGCTGTCTAAAGTGTGTTTGGTGTTGTGCTGTCTGTGGGGTAATGTTTGATTAAAACGCGTGACAGTGAAAGCCGGAAGGAAGCTGCCTCACTGATGCTGCCTTATCTTTGCACGACAGCCAGCTGTTGGGGTGGTATGTTGTTGACATTTGATATAGACGTATTGACGACCCTGAATGTTTGTTTGGGTTATCAAGTCCCTCTTCTCTCACTGTTATTATTGTTCGTTCTGTAGGCCACCGTGACAGCGACGCACCAGTTCAAGTGGCTGATATACCTGTGTATGATGATTTCGCAATGGAAGTATGCAGTCCAGCGCATACATGGCAATGCGGCGCAACACCTCCGTGTCAACAGCTGGGTCACCCCAGCCGATGCGCATAATCCGACGGAGGCACAGTCGAATTTCAAAGTGAATGCATGCTAGAGGCACTGAACGGACAATTATTCATGTGCAATTAATTGCAGTTGGCACCAGAGGACCAGCTACAATGTATCACATGTTAAAAACTCGCTCTCTGTGCATCTATCGGTCCGACCTAACACTATTTGAATGAACGTCTAATGGTGGATGATGGCACAGGCAGAAGGAATAGACGCAGGGGCAAAGAGCGGAAGGTCGGTCAAACGTCGCTGATACTTTTGTCGGTGGGTCTACTACTAGAGGAGGATGGCATTGGTTGAATGGACAACGAAGAAGAGGTTCAGTCAAGAGGAAACGATGGGAAGAGATATTTGAAGCTGAGGAGTAGATAGAGCTGAACCTAAGCAGACGGAAAATATGCGTGGGTGGATGTGAGCGATGAAGCAGTGAAAAAGAAAAACAAGGACGGCGATTCAAAGTTACGGACAGTATAGATGTGTCGGTGACCCTGGAAAACGGATCGGTGCCCAGAGTTTGATTTTACTCCCCGACTGTCACATGACGGAAGTAACAGTCCATTTAAATAACTATGTTGCTGGCAATACAATACGGTAGTGTAGGGATTGAGATGCCTGGTTTGCAATCTCTGTATACGAAGTTCACATAACCGTTCTTTACAGAGTTTAGGGGGACCCTAAAGTACCTCAGTTCGAGTACAACCATTTTAAGACGCAGCGACCCACTAATACCCGCCAGACCATATCAGAAAAATGTGAATCGCACGTCTGTCACATGTACTCAAGGTATCAGTGGTTGATGATGAAGCCATTTAGTTGATAAGGAGCCGCTCAGTGAGAGTAAGCCCCAAATGTCTGTTTACCTTATCATGAAGGAGATGCATGGACAAAGCTAGTGGAGCCTGTAAATAGCCAGCCAAGCAAGATTCGTCAACGCAAATGCAATCATGACAAAAACAACAAGCACAAGCCAGTGTGAACATGACGTAACAGTACCGCACATAAGGAGGAAGTGGATGATTTCCGGACGTTTGGAATACAAGTCACTTTTTTGGTTGCAATTGTGGTTACCTATCGTTTTTGTGGTTTCTTCAGGCCAAATGAATCGGTGCACAATTAATTTAACTTTTCTGACAAAACTGGATAAAGATTGTGAGAAACGACACTGGTCAGTGTATACTAATGGTACAAATCAATGGATCAAACGGTCATTCCGGTGTATAAACAAGCATCGAATGTTCTCGACTGGTCCGCAACACTGGTCATTCACATGTGTGGGATTCCCGTTCATGGTGTTGCTGATTCGCATTCCGACCCGAGTCTGGCCACCGACACTTTTCACATTGGCTGCGTTGAGATACCTCGGTTAGGTGTTTCGTAACTCCACCCCATCCGTTCTATTCAAGTGCGCTGGCAACTAAGTTTTGACGGGTTTCTCGTAATGATCTCGACAAAGGAACTGGTTGGTAAGAACAAAGTTAAATAAGGCGTAAAGCTGGGATGAGCAAAGTTAACCAATACCTTAGATTAGAGAACAAAATGCGCCAACAAAAACAAGTAACAGAGGCCCATTGACCTTAAAACAGGGTGTAAACACGTTTTACCTTCGAGAGTATGAATTGTTGAGCAGCCGTCAGTACGTATTTTGATTCAAAACCGGTGTAGGACATCTGTTGCCCATCCAGAATAGCCATGAGGAAGGATCAAGAGTGGATCCAACGTACCCAGTTTAGGAATTGGGAAAATTACCTTAAGTAATGGAGAAAAATCGTCTCAATTTGTTCCTTCGGCGATCATTCACTCAAATTTGCCTAAAATCCATTAGTTGACAGATGAGGGGAGAGTGGCAAATTAATCCCATTGGCACATCCTGAGAACCTATGGAAGGTGACACCCGTTCTATGGAGGGAGCAATCGCGAACTCTGAGAAAAAGACCTCTGGAGCAATGAAGTCGTGGAGAAAAAATAACACGATGGTATATGACTGCAGTATCAGAAGCGCAACAAAAGAGAGTGCATTGTAAAACTTACCGCCACTGCAGAATGTAACAAGACGTAGTCTACGCCCACACAAGCCTGTCCAGCATTGTAGATCTTGCCCCAAACGATGCGTCGAGCTGCAACGTGTAGATCGGATTCCGCGTCCACATAAGACGGACTGAAAACGGGATGATAAGGAAATGAATACCTTATAGGACACACGATCAATATGGTGTAAGAGAGCAGTTCATGCGCCTACATTTCAGTGCCTCGGAAACAATGGGTTGCTTTCAGTGGTGATCATAAACGAGGGAAAGCAGAAAGGAGGACGCGTGTGCAACATGTGTGTGTGTGAAAGCGAGTCCGATTAGTAATCGATTGCGGCCTAGAAAATATCCTCCGCATAAACTTATAGATGCGTAAGACGTCATGGGCTTTTCAATCATCGTTGGACGACAGGTGGCGAGAGAACAACTTCATCGGCGGAGGTAGAGTTCTGAATAAGTCAATGAGAAGACTGGTATTGCGAGATGGAACCATTTCGTGTTATCTGCTCGCTCGTATCTATGCTTCATGTGCAGGCGAGACACTACCCTGTTGTCTAGGTCGAAGTAGATGGGTTGCCTTAGGGGACCACGGCCCCGAACCTTTGGCCGAAAGGCCTAGATCACAAGGCAGCAGGGCGAAATAAGGCGTTCACACAAGTTGGGAGCAGGTGACTGAACATGCAGTTCATACGCCTTTCCGATGAGGAAAAGCCATACTCCCGAAGTCAAAAGCAGAAACCAATACTCGGGTTGCTTGTCGGTATATAATGTCTCCGAGACGACAAGGAGCAGTGACTTTAGTTAGTGGTAAGTTACATCCGCCAAGCCACAGTGTTGTTAAAAGGACATATGTGGATTTTTATAGGGAGAATGCTTGGTAGGCGTAAACTCATCACATCCTGGAACACTGCCGCCAAACCATTAGCTGGAACGGGAAATACCCGAACCGCCCAGCTGGCACCACGAGGTTGTTCGGCCTAGAAAACATCTTCCACGTAAACTTACAGATGCGTAAGAGGTCATAAGTAGCCCGATCGAATGGGAATAAACAAGCATACACTTCCAAGAGTACAGACACTATGTATATTGGTGAAAGAGGCACTGAGTTATGAAATAATAAGAACGAAAATCTACGCTCGACAACTATCATCACTATTAAAGCCTGAGGTCTGGTCACAGCACATACAAGGCAGATAGCTAAAATACATGTGGTGAACCAAGGCAGAAAAGCTGAAACCGCGTTGTTTACAAGCAAAAAGCAGGTAAGTGGGCTTCTTCAAGAAAGCAACCTCGAGCTAAAGGCTACGGTAGAAAAGTGCAGTTGGATAGTGGTAGGCGCCAAGATAAAGTAGGATAAGCTCCGGGGACTGGGTGTAATTCACCGTGTAAGAAAACAAGTTCCAGATAGGTGAATGGGACACGGGATGCGAGGAACATGTTGAGCATACACAAATATGAGGTGAAATTGTGATAAATAACTAAAAAATAACATTGAACGAAAACGGTTAGAATGGAAAGATGTCAAACGAAAATGAATTGCACGCCCCCGTTAATTTGCTCGATGTATTCAATAGAGGAGACAAAAGTCGCGACATTAGATACCAGACAGTGGAATGTGGTGCGAGAACGTGCGTGGGGTAAGATATTATTAGAGTGCCCCACATCGCCAGTAGAACGATGAAGATACGAATCCAATGCTGTGCGTCCAATATTTCAATGTAAACGCGTAATGATGCGCTTGTTGTTCATGAATGCGGTATCATTGTTGTAGTAATAGTCGGTCCTCCAGAGACAAACGATTTGTTGGTGAAAACCACACAGATAGTTCGGACAGCGCTTTCATATACCTTGTCCGGCAAGTACCACTGAGAATGACGCAGTTCCGGTTAAACAACAATCGGCAAGTCACTCAATCAGTGGAGCTTGGTGTAGTCAATAGCCGGCGCCGTTCGGTTCGCACCTGATGGGCTGCGTCTTAGGTCTGACTGGTCTGTTTACTATCTATGATGCGCTAATTCCATAACAATAGTAATACCACCAACCGTTACAATAGGGAATGGAAGATCGGGTTTGTAAACCTCGGATAAGTTGGACAAGTAGGCTACAGTAATGCAACTACGGGGCCGCCGATGTGGGAAGCGAAGTTCACAAATGTAAACAGTTCAGAGAAAACCTGCAGGCGTCAAAAGAGTTTGTAAGCTGACTTCAAACCAGAAGATGGAGCAAAGTAGTGAAGGTAAAGAACGTGTGAAAATATTCCACACTTGGCAAAGTCCATTTCTCACAGGTAGACGCTTAGAAGTATTACTGCGGTATCATATAAGTGACAAATAAGGTATTCGCGTAACACGAGATGCACAATGTCCGATGAAGATATGACAAAATAGAGCCCTGCAATATTGACCTGTCGGGAGAAGAGGCACGTCATTTTATGTGGAGGCGCTGATGTGAAAGGTGGCTCATGTATCCTGTGAATGTCTTGGGACTAAATGACAAAACAAGCACGCAGCACGGAACAAATGTAGGAAAGTGTGTTTAGAGAAGTGGCCACTCAGGCATTCTGACTAAGTCAATCGATAAATGTTTGTTCAGTCACGGAACGCCTGTATGCAGTACAGCGCTCTTGTAAGATTGATGAGGAAGAAAGAGTAGGCGGTGACGCGCACACAACAGTAAGCATCATCGATAGACGTGAGACAAATCGCTGCCAAGGTCCGGTTCGCAAGGTGTTCACTACTGCTCAAAGCCCATTCCCAGAAACGTTTTCATTAGTAGTTAGAACGAACCAACATCGAGACAGAGCTCAGGAAAACCAGGGATTAGAGTGAGCGTGTTGTGGGCACTACTCAACGAGTGGCAATCATCAATAAGTTTCACGACAGGTAGTACAAAAACGATGTGCCAGTATTCGTGAAACAGTGGCGCTCTTGGTGCTCTAGACGCGAATGTGCTTACCGAATACCGCACCGAAAAGTGACTCTGCCTAAGGCGCATACTCGAAGTTAGTGGCACCAACATGTCAACAACAATGAGGTTTGAAGGAGAGTGGCCGTTGGTGATTTGTTTAGTTCTTTTGAGGGACAAATAAGATGTGGCTATAGTGGTTTTGGCAACTGTTGTTAACGCAATGTGCCGCATATCGAGATCAGTGTAGTTCTGTTTTCTAAGCGAAATTCTTGACCTGGTAACGGAAAGTGAAGTATCTACAAAACAGCCTGAGCGAACTTGACTCATCCCGTCTTCTAGGTTGCATACCACGCGATCGAATCGTCACATCGTTCAGGATAGAACATGGAAACCGAACCACACTGGCAGAGTGTGCGTTACTTTCGGCTATCCGGACCACTTGTTCAAAGTGTGTACGGTGCTCGATTATTTGCGGAATAAAGTTGATCATAAAATGGGATATCGAAAGGCGATGTCGCTTTACTATGATAGAGCGTATTTTTGAACGCGCAACGCAATGTAGCGTGTTGGATCACAGAGGTTCCCAAGGTATGAATCAGCTTCATTGCGAAAAAGACAGAAAATAACCCTGCAGTCTGTGCAGGAGGTGCATGAATTCCCACACACCAAAACAGTGAAGTGCAGAGACAAACACGCAATAGCCTAGATTAGATTGGCGTCATACAGTCAGAAACCAACGAAGCCATGGATGCAAGTCAAGGAGCAGTGACTTTGTTTAGTGGCAAGTCACATCCGCCACGCCACAGTATTGTTAAATGGACATATGTGGCTCTTTACAGGGAGAATGTTTGGTAGGCGTGAACTCATCACATTCTGGAACACTGCTGCCAAACCACTAGCCTGAACGGGAAATACACGAGTGGCAAGCATAATTATTATCGGGTATGGGGTAGACGGACAAATTGGAAATTAGAACATCTTTCATTGGCAGCATAGATGAACAAAGATAATTACTGATGTCAAACGGACTGTGAACTCTATGCTCTCCCCCCAGAGTCTCGCTGGTTAGTCGCACAACAGAATGCCGGTTTCGCAACGTACTATCTTGATTCCCTAGGCAAATAACTTAAACCAAGCACCTTGTTTCATGGCGAACAAACTGAACATCGCAAATTAGCACAAATTTCGTATAGAGTATAATGAAAAGGACGAGTGAACTCGTAGGGGATTTCTACCGTTATAATGTGTGTACAAGGAGAGATAAATAAAGGTACTCCTTTTGTGCAGTAAAACTGCTGGGTGCCAGGATGTCTCAAGTGGAGAACACTACAGATTTCTCGACGGTGCTAATGAAAAGGCTGATATATTGAACTCGTTGTCCATACAGCAGGAATGCACTGATGCAACCAGTCATCATCTAGTCACTCGGAGGCATCAAACTAGCATAAGCAACAATGACGAATGGTGTGTTGAAGCAGCTGGGGAAACGCGATTTCACCCGTGTAAGAGAGAGCAGCAGGCGATTCAGTGAGATGCCAGAGAGTTTGTTTCGACATATTCGTCACATCATACACATACTGTGGACACCACGGTTCTAACACAAGGGTAGGTGAGAAGTGCGCTTGAAATAATAGTATGAGATGAAATGCACTAAGCACACACACCATGCGAGGCGAGGTAGTAGAGGTGGGCCCGCTTGCAATTCAGGCACATGATGCAGGTGTTAACATGGGCGAGGGTTGAGTTGCAGCGATAAGATGCAGGTGAAAGTCAAGGCTTTGCTGAGCTCCAAACAAGGAAGAAGATGGCCCAAGTGCACTCGATCATACGCATCGCTGCCATGAGCCATAGAATTCGGTTAACAAACACCACAAATGAATCGCTGCTCTGACAATGAGTGAGAACGTCGGGGAAGGGCACGCACGAGCACCGTCTACTGGATATCGTTTAAAGGTAAGGTGGAAAGCGTGCGAATCTCCCGTCACAAATACAATAGAATTAGGCATCAGTAGTAGGCCAGCACAGCGCGCCGGCACTTCGCTGCCATGCGAACTCCAACAATCGCGCGAGAGCAGGGTATACCTACACGGATTCGAACCGGTGACCACTGGATTGCAACATATGCGCGAAATCTTTGCGGCCACAGGCCGACACGAATATAAAACTGGTGCCTCCAGGTGAGTACATGCTTATTCGGACACAGCCCAGCTAAAAGAAGTGAGGGACAGGTTATGAGGGGAAAAGTTCAAAGAAAAGTGGCTGTGCCACTCACACTCAAGTCAGGCCTGCTACATGAAACACCGCCGCAGGTAGTTAAGGTGTAGATGATGCTAATCACTTCACAAATAAGGCGGGTGGACATATGCATAACCACGAAAGTTTCTCAGCCGCATACAGTAAAAGCATTAGTAATATAAAATCTGTCCGTAAAGCTTATAAGTCCTTGTGTCGTACACAGGCGCTATGCGGAAAGTCCTAGCTCGTGGGGCTAACTGCTGTCCTCTGCACAGTTTGTAACTGGCATGGCAGTGGAAGATGAGCCGGGCTATATCATATCCAAATGTCAATCATGCAATTCCGCGGCTGCCACCCATGGCGAACTGGCACTAGCTGCTGGTATCCGAAAGTCATGGGGGCGGAACTAAGCAGAGGTCCTCTGGAAGTCGCACCACTGACGAGACCGAGAAGGTCTAAACATCGGTGTCTGGTGCTTTTCTAGTCTATCAAAAGCCTGCTGACTGAGAGTGGACCGTGGTGAATTATCTCTAAAAAACAGAAGGAACTAACAAGAATAAAAAGTTGAACACAAGTACCATATACATTTCGCTTCAGCCAGTGTGCCGCAACCGCTGACTAGGAAACAGTATGCGAGAAATTGGACAAACCCCTATTGGGACTTACCACTTCCCACCCGATTCCAGAGTTACGGGTGTGAGGAAGTTGGCGGCAGCCGTGTATATAGCTCGTGCGCCAACAGTGCCGCCGGTGTAGAATATGTGATCGAACCGCAGGGTCAGCAAGTTTTGGCAAACTTCCAAACCCCCGCATATAACTTGACAGACGTTCTGTAACAAAGAAATTGTCAGCAAGTGAATGCATTCCGGCCCAACCGCCAATGGAATGCTTAAATCAACACAATAAATACAAAACAAAAAGTTCTTTTAAATGTAGTGATTGTTCAAAATGCAGCTCAGTTCTTGAGGAGCAAATTGGTGAGAGGACTCAAGAGACTGCTAAATTAATAAAGCATATCAGTATAAAGGTTCACAACAATTCTGTAGGTATTATCATACAAGAGGATGTGTGCTGACAAGGCAAAAGATCTTTCCATTCGAAGGAATCCAGCGAAATGGACCGAAATCTGGTAATCGCTATACTAAGTGGATACATCGAAGAGCTACTTTCTGATTCCCAAAAACAGATGAGCAAAAGGTGTCGGTAAGGTAACACGGGATTAGCTGAAACATTAACAGAGCACGGGGTATTGGGCCGTAGCGTCATCAAACAACTTGGACTGACTGGACAAAATAGCAATCTGCTGCACATTCAAAGTGCTTCCCAGGAATTAAAATGACATCTGCGCGCAGCAGGATCACTAGAAAAACTCGACTCAGGTGGAAGAAATGATAGAATAAAGCGTACATAAGTGCTTCTACCAAGATGAAATTGCATTCGCAGCTACAAGCAACCTTGCGACTCCGGAATTTAGGCTGCACTAGACTGGAGATAAGTGGATACAATGTCTGCAATGTCTGAGTTTGTTGCAAATGTTCTTTTGATATCTTGTTCTGCCATCTTCCTTTATCGCGGATATGTGGATAACACATTTATTTCATTTGCTTATTTGGTGGAGTTAAGTCAGCATACCCGTATCCATTATTCGATTAATTTTATCTTATATCGTCATTACAAGTGATTGGCTGTCGCTTGACATCCGCGATGTGGATGCGCTTGCTGTGCATGTTGACAAGGTGTCTAACTGTCTGTTACCCACCACCTCGTTTACACTGGCTCTAGGAAGCAGATGGTCGTTTCTGGAGGGGATCGGATGCACGGTCTCGTGACCGGCTCCGTTGATGAAACGTGGTTCCCATCCACATGCCTCCCGGTCTTATTCCTTCGAGTTTACACTGGATATGGGGTGTGTGGTTGGAGCTGTGGTTGGTGCAGCGCAAGCCACTCATGGTCTCTCGGTAGTTGCAGGCGTCCTGTGGCTGTCCTATTAAGCCCGCATTGACAGGCAACTCCGGAACTGGATGCCGCCAACTGCATCCCTAGCGCTATCAAATTCTCCCTAAGGAAACCATGTTACCCCATAGATCTCTCAAGATGGTCCTGAATGCTCTCAGGTTGCATCATACGGACACTAACGTTCCATACGTACTGTTCGCTGAATGACTTATCTCAGATAAGCAGGTAGCATTACCGATAAGTACGCAGAGTGAGATGCTGTTGGCTGATTTGGGATTGGTTTCTTTATGAACCGTAGCAGTTAGGAGCATTCTTCTCTGTTGGATGCAAATTGAATGCACTAAGAACCATCTTGAGAGGTCTATGGAGGAATTTTATTGCGCTGTGGACGCCATTGTCTAAGCAAAGGTATAGTCACATTCGCCAAAACTACCGGCTACCATCACACCGTTTCCGAGTTATCTAACCTTTCCACATCATAACGTATGGGACAAAGCAGTCTAGTTTGTGTCTCATGTCCTTTTTATAACCACAAGGCAATACTAGTTACTCTGATGTCTCCATACTTTTCTTCACTTTCGCATGTGCCCCATCGAAATAAGACGCTGGATTTGCCTTCCGATTAGTCACAATCCCTGCCGTATCTCTCTTGCTTAGGTACCCTTTAGTTACCACCACTGATGCCGGTAAGATGAAATTGCGCACAGTGTTTGGGCAGGTCCGGTCACTCACAGATCCTTATGCATGCGTCGAATCAGCAACACCGACACTGTATCTCTTCTGTCAAATTGGCGCTCATTGCCGGATTTTGTTGCTCACGCATTTTTATTGGCTACATATGTCGTACTGCTGCTTTGCTTCATCCTGTGAGACTGCCACCGTCTGTCTGCTCAGCCACCGCCCAGCCGGCTCGCTAGACAGGGGACATTCTACAAGATAAGTCATCCCTACTTATTGGTGAACGAAACATACTAATTCTGGAAGTCCATACCGCCCACTCTTCTGCGTCTAGTTCTCACCCAATGTGAGTGAATTCCGTCCCACGAGTTTACCATATTTTGCAGAATGATTCGGACTTGTATTTGCTGGCCAATCAATTCACACCCGATTCCCATATTTGTCGGAACAGTCGAAGATCGTTCCACACCCGTGCTGATAACCTTCACATGCATCAGACAGCTCACCTGCTCCGCGGTAAGCCCGTGCGCAACGTATCTAGTCATTGGCTCCGCTTACCTCTCTGTTAACATATTGAATTAGTCCCGTTCGGTTTCTACCTCAAAACACCCACTGCTTATGTGCTTTGAGGTTCGCTTGGCCGTAAGAAGCCGGTTAGTACTGTCAGGTAATCGTTGCGTCCCCTTGTTGATCCCCATATTTTCATTCTACACCATTGAAACTTGGAACGCATAACCTGCACCGATACATTTGGCATTGGGACTAGTCTCAGGTCCGTGATTTCCCGTTGACGTTCGTTTTGTTGTGCCGCACCGTTTTTCATCCCCTTGCACTGTTTTTGGGTACAGGGCTATGTAAACCCATCCCAGACGTCCACTGTACAGAGCACTGTGCCTTCATCCTTTGTTATTTTTCCTCAGACGACTGGTCAGTTTACTCCGAGAAACTAAGGGCAAAATTATTGTTGGAGGTACGACGGATGAGGAGGACCTGTACATTTCGCCCACTGTTGTGGTGGACGTCCAGCCGAATGACTCCTTGATGTCGGAAGAGGTATTTTTCCCATTTTCCATCATATCCCTTTTCGTTCCACTCCTTACACTTTACAGTCAGATATACTAAGGCGTTGCAGTACTACTTATCAGTCTGCTAAATCAACTGAACGGATGCGCTGTCCTAACTCCAACACACGGTCTTTAAACTTTGGCTCTGCTACCAACTTAGCCATTACCCTAGCTGTGTGTTCATAAGACGGATTCTCCCCAGACCTTGGTCAAAAAGAGTCTAGTTGATCATAACTGTTCTCATCTGACTTTTGTGTCTCAACTGCTATGCGACGCAATCGACTCCACCAGTAGCCGTCGACTTGTTCCTATATTACTTTTGCTCCAATTTGATGGCGTCTTGCATTAGGTTTTTCCAATCTTGATGTTACTGTTTCATCTTCTAACTGGTTTCTTCCGATCTCTTTTTTGTCGTATTTTGTGCGGATTTGCCCACGTTTTTAGTCATTTCCCACCATTGCGCTTGGGTAGTCGGGTCCTTGTCAACTAACTGAACTGATTGCCGGCCAATGGCCTTAAGGGTCACAAGCCTGCCTTGTAATGTGAGTTTGTGGTTTGGAGCCTGCGTAGGGGACCGGGCGACTCTTGAAGTACCCTTAGCCCACGCGCGACTGGTGCTGGTTGCGCGACAGCGAATCGTCGGTACTGAGTACCGGCGTACTGCTGATGCGCCGGAGTCATATGTGGGGTCATCGGGACGGTCTACAACATGCCCGCGCTGTCCTTTTATGTGGAAGTGAGTCCTGGCCGATTCGTATGAATGACATGCGTAGGCTTTCGGCCTTCGACAACACAAGTTTGCGGCGGATTGCGGCTGTGTTGGCAGCACCGGGCTCGCAACGATGAAGTCCGGTGTCGCGTTTTGGGAAGCATGAGCCCTCTACTTGATCGCATTGTCGCAATGCGTCATTTGTGGTGGTTTGGCCACGTTCTATGTATGTCATGCGAGCGCTTGCCACGCCGCGCCTTATTTGTTCGCACGGGATTGAATTCGAAGAGAAGGCGTGGAGGGCAACCAACCACTTGGCGGCAAACCATGAAATCGCTGACCTGTCTCACCGTCGTCGGACCCGTACGCCTTTCTGGTTGGGGGCCCAAGATTGAGAACTGCCAATGCCTCGACACACCGGGCGATATGGTGCGAAACCGGAATCAATGGAAGGACTGTATATTGCAATATTTTGAACATGCGTTTATTGCCATACCATTCAAATTGTCAAAAAAATAACAACATAGCGTGTGAAAACAAGCAAAACCACAAAAAGTCCAAAATATTTGTTTTCCGTTCCAAACATTTGTACTTTTTTGTTTTTGTCATGGTTTTTCGGTGGCTCTGCGTCTATTTATAGGCTTCTTCATATATATA